CACAAGAATTAAATGTAGCTCATCAAAGCTTTACTAAATTGCGTAGATTTCTATGTGGAATTCAAGAATTAAACAATGTTCATCAAAGCTTTGCTAAATTGCATAGACTACTTCTATTGTAGAACCCAAGAATTAAACAATGCTCATCAAAGCTTTGCTAAATTGCATAGACTCTATTGTGGAACTAAGAATTAAAGAATACTCATCAAAGCTTTGCTAAATGTATATACTACATCTATGTGGAACTTAAGAATTTAACAATCTCATCAAAGCTTTGCTAATTTGCATAGACTAATTCTATTGTGGAACTCAAGAATTAAAACAACGCTCATAAAATCTTTGCTAATTGGATAGACTTCTATTGTGGAAATAAAGAATTAAACAATGCTCATCAAAGCTTTTCTAAATTGGATAGACTTCTATGTGGAACTCAAGAATTAAACAATGCTCATCAACTTTGCTAAATTACATAGATACTTCTATTGTAGAACACAAGAATTGCTCACCATAGCTTTGCTAAATTGCATAGACTTTTTTTGCAGGATACAAAAATTAACAAAGCTCATCAAAGCTTTGCTAATTGCATAGACTTCTATTGTGGAATTCAACAATTAAACAATGCTCATCAAAGCTATCCGAAATTGCATAGACTACTTCTATTGTGGAACTCAAGATTAAACAATGCTCATAAAAGCTTTGCTTAATTGGATAGACTTCTATTGTGGAAATCAAGAATTACGTAATGCTCATCAAAGCTTTGCTAATTTGTATAGACTAATCTATTGTAGAATTCAAAAAGTAAACAATGCTCATCAAAGCTTTGCTAAATTGCATAGAATTCTATTGTGGAACTCAAGAATTAAACAAAGCTCATCAAAGCTTTGCTAAATTGCATAGACTTGTTTTAAACAATGCTCATCAAATCTTTGCTAAATTACATAGAGTACTTCTATTGTAGAACACAAGAATTGCTCACCATAGCTTTGCTAAATTGCATAGACTTTTATTGCAGGATACAAAAATTAAACAAAGCTCATCAAAGCTTTGCTAAATTGCGTAGACTTCTATTGTGGAATTCAACAATTAAACAATGCTCATCAAAGCTATCCGAAATTGCATAGACTACTTCTATTGTGGAACTCATAATTAAACAATGCTCATAAAAGCTTTGCTTAATTGGATAGACTTCTATTGTGGAAATCAAGAATTACGTAATGCTCATCAAAGCTTTGCTAATTTGTATAGACTAATTCTATTGTACATATACTACATCTAATATGGAACTCAAGAATTTAACAATGCTCATCAAAGCTTTGGTAAATTGCATAGAGTTTTATTGTGGAACTAAAAACTAAACTATCCTCATCAAAGCTTTTCTAAATTACATAGACTTCTATGTAGAACTCAACAATTAAACAATGCTCATCAAGGCTTTGCTAAATTACATAGACTTCTATTTGCAACTCAAGAATTAAACAATACTTGTCACTTCGATTGTGGAACTAAAGAATTAAACAATGCTCATCAATGCTTTACTAAATTGCATAGACTTCTATTGTAGAACCCAAGAATTGCTCTCATAGCTTTGCTAAATTGCATAAACTTCTATTATAGGATAGGATACAAGAATTAAACAAAGCTCATCAAAGCTTTGCTAAATTGCGTAGACTTCTATTGTGGAATTCAAGAATTAAACAATGCTCATCAAAGCTTTCCTAATTTGCATAGACTACTTCTATTGTGGAACTCAAGAATTAAACAATGCTCATAAAAGCTTTGCTAATTGGATAGACTTCTATTGTGGAAAACAAGAATTATGCAATGCTCATCAAAGATTTGCTAAATTGCATAGACTAATTCTATTGTAGAACTCAAAAAGTAAACAATGCTCATCAAAGGTTTGCTAAATTGCATAGACTTCTAGTGTGGAAATCAAGAATTAAACAAAGCTCATCAAAGGTTTGCTAAATTACATAGACTTCTATTGTGGAACTCAAGAATTAAATAATGCTCATCAAAGCTTTGCTAAATTGCATAGACTTCTATTTTGGAACTCAAGAATTAAACAATGTTCATCAAAGCTTTGCTAAATCATATATACTACTTCTATTGTAGAACCCAAGAATTAGACAATGCTCATCAAAGCTTTGCTAAATTGCATATACTTCTATTGTGGGACACAAGAATTAAACGTAGCTCATCAAAGCATTAATAAATTGCGTAGATTTCTATTGTGGAATTCAAGAATTAAACAATGTTGATCAAAGCTTTGCTAAATTGTATAGACTACTTCTATTGTAGAACCCAAGAATTAAACAATGCTCATCAAGCTTTGCTAAATTGCATAGACATCTATTGTGGAACTAAAGAATTAAAGAATACTCATCAAAGCTTTGCTAAACCTGTATATACTACATCTAATGTGGAACTTAAGAATTTAACAATGCTCATCAAAGCTTTGCTAATTTGCATATACTAATTCTATTGTGGAACTCAAGAATTAAACAACGCTCATAAAATCTTTGCTTAATTGGATAGACTTCTATTGTGGAAATAAAGAATTACGCAATGCTCATCAAAGCTTTTCTAAATTGGATAGACTTCTATTGTGGAACTCAAGAATTAAACAATGCTCATCAAATCTTTGCTAAATTACATAGAGTACTTCTATTGTAGAACACAAGAATTGCTCACCATAGCTTTGCTAAATTGCATAGACTTTTATTGCAGGATACAAAAATTAAACAAAGCTCATCAAAGCTTTGCTAAATTGCATAGACTTCTATTGTGGAATTCAACAATTAAACAATGCTCATCAAAGCTATCCTAAATTGCATAGACTACTTCTATTGTGGAACTCAAGAATTAAACAATGCTCATAAAAGCTTTGCTTAATTGGATAGACTTCTATTATGGAAATCAAGAATTACGTAATGCTCATCAAAGCTTTGCTAATTTGTATAGACTAATTCTATTGTAGAATTCAAAAAGTAAACAATGCTCATCAAAGCTTTGCTAAATTGCATAGAATTCTATTGTGGAACTCAAGAATTAAACAAAGCTCATCAAAGGTTTGCTAAATTGCATAGACTTGTTTTGTGGAACTCAAGAATAAAACAATGCTAAGAATTAAACAAAGCAATGCAAACAATGCTAAACTTTTTCGCTTTCTCTCTCTCTACTTTCTCTCTCTTCCCCTCATTCTCTCTATCGGTGGTGCGATCTAGTTTTTGGTTCATCGGTGCTGCTTTTCCGACAAATTTCATTTAGTCGTTGAAGCAATTTCTCTTCTGTTTCTGTTGTCCTAATGGGTGCGTCATCTAAAAGCGGATCGATTGAAGGAAGTGAAAGTTAAGCCGCCGAATAAAAGTGCTGCTGTCTGGTACGTTAGGACTGAAGTGGATGTGAAAGATCTAGTTCCCCCTGGGGTCATTGATCAGTCCTCTGCTACGATTTATAAAGCTCGTCATAAGCCAAGTGCTTCTGGAGCTGTTGCTTCGGGGATTGGAAAAGCTGAATGGAAAATGGAGGGGAAAGCTTTCAGAGTGAAGAACAGAGCTCGGAAAATTGTGGATGGGATATCACCGATGGATGCAAAGGAATACTACACTGAAGAAGCTAATGAGGAGGAAACGGAAGATGACTCGGAGTCTGTATCGGCTTGGGAGTCGGATTCTAATATTTCAATTCCTAGAAATGATAGCAATATGAAGGGGTTGAAGGATGGGGGTTCTGGTGAGCTGAAGACTATTGGAGTTCAAGTTGTCTCTATTCCTTCAGGTAATACTGCTAATTTGTTGAAGAATTGGGATGGTTCTAAGGTGAATGATGAATTATTGACCCCCTAGTTCGGAATTGAAGAGTGTTACTAGTGAAATGATTAGGGTGAATCCTAACATTGCTATGATTGATGTCAATAAACCTGTATGCCCTGATTTGGTTGATGATGAAGTTGAGAAGTCTAGATCTAATGGTGATAAGAAGGTTATCAGTAATGAAGAATTTATTCCAGGAGTTGGCTTTCAATTTCTTAATGAGTTGAAGGTGGAAACACCTAAGTGGAAGGATTTAGATAGTAAGTTGAATCCGGAAATGGATGTCGATATGTCAAATTTGAATAAGGAAGTTAATGAGGAAGGAGATGATTCTGAAGATGATGGTTCTTCTGAAGAGGATGGGGAAGATGAATCTAGTGAGGATGAGTCTAGTGAAGATGAGGAAATTGTGATGGAAGAGGAGGTTAATACTAAGATGAGTAAAGAGCCTAGTTTAAAGATGAAGTCTGGTACTGTTATTAATAGTATTAATATGCTTCCTTCTATTTTGGGTGATGCTAATAGTTGTAAAAAGGTGGATGGTGATAGTCAGGGGAACTTGTTGAACTCTTATGCAGGTGTGTTAAAAGGTAATAGACATAAGGGTAAGATTGATGTCAAGTTTATTCCAGGGGAAAAAGGCAAAGAAGAAGGACCTGTTATTATCCCGATTGAGAATTTAAAGAAAGCGAGTATTCCATATACTAATACTTTATATGGGTATATGATTCATAAGAAGTTAGCGTTTCCTGTGATTCAGTAAGAGGTTAGAAGGCTATGGAAGAATGTGGGTCTTGAAGAGATATTCATGAACAGTAAAGGGTTTTTCTTTTTTTTAAATTTAGTGATGAGCAGGGGATGTTATCTATATTGGAGGGAAGCCCATGGTTGATGTTCAATAATATGCCATTATTTCTTCAAAGGTGGAGACCAGGTCTGAAATTAACCAAGAATAGTCATGATAAAATTCCGGTGTGTATTATAACGAGTAAGTTGGGGGTGCCTCTGGCTTTTGATTATTTTACTGAGGATATGTGTTTGGAACACAAGGGTAGAAACGCTTATGCTCGAATTCTTGTTGAAATGGCGGCTGATAAGGAATGGATGAGGAAAATTGAGGTTTCTACTTAGGATTTTGTTACTAATTCTGCTGTGGTTCAGAGTTTTGATGTGGAGTATGCTTGGATGCCTTCTAGATGTAATCACTGTAAGGTTTATGGGCATACGGATAAAGTTTGTTTGGCAGCTTTGAGTGAAGAGAAAGTGGTAAAGAATGGGGATAATGGGAACAATAAGAGAAATAAAGGGAAGGAAATGGTTAATGATGATGGATTTATGGAGGTTGTTTATAAGAAGGTTGCAGGAAATAATGATGGTGAAGGTACTAGTAAATCTAAGGAGGGTCATGCTCAATTGTATAATCAAAGATATAGTGGGAAGAATGGAAATTTTAACAGGGGAAATAATTTTAGAGGCAATTATGGGAATAGAGGTGGTAATGGAAGGGGACAGAATGGGAATTGGAATAATAAAGGGGTGGGTCATTGGAATTTGGAAAAGAATAGAAGATATGAGAAGTTTGTTAATGGTCAGGCTTTGGTTGGTAATCAGGGGAAAATGGAGAATAAGATGCGGAGGAATGCTATAAAGGATGATAACATAAAAGTGGGTGTTAACAAGAGTCTAGAAAATAAGACTGTTTCTAGTGATGGTTGCAGTATTAAAAATAGTTTTGAAATCCTGGGAAGGATTGATGAGGAAGTTATGGATAGAATGGAAGAGGATGCTAAGGGAGGCAAAGTTGATGGTTATCAGGAAGGTGATTGTGTTGATTATTCTTCTGATGTTGTTGGAATAATTAATAATAAGTTGGATCCTTCTAAGTTTGTTGGGAAGGGTAATGTAGGGAATGAAAGTAATAAAATAAAGAATAGTATGATGGTTCAGGGGAATAGTAAAAGCAAAGATGGGATTTCTCAGGCATTTGAGGAGGTAAATGCCAAAAACTCTATTATTTCCCAATGATGTCTATAGGGGTATGGAATGTCAGGGGCTTGAATAAAGCTATTAAGCAGAAGGAGGTTATTGATGTTATTAGGAGTAATAACCTTGGTATATGTGCTGTGGTGGAGTCTCATGTCAAGGTCTTAAATCTTAAGAATGTTTGTGTTAAGACCTTTGGTCAATGGGATTGGGTTTCTAATAATAGTAGCTGTGAGGCTGGAACTAGAATAATTGTTGGATGGAATCCAAGACTTTTTGATGTGATGGTGATTTCTCAGTCTAGACAAGTTATTCACTGTTATGTTAGATTCTGTGATTCCAATTATAGCATGTATTTGTCTTTTATATATGCTGCTTCGAATTATCTTGAGAGAAGGTTATTATGGGATAATTTGAAGAAACATAGTTTGGTTGTTAAGAAGGAAGCATGGGGAATATTAGGTGATTTTAATGTTGCTTTAAAACCATCGGAATATTCTGAAGGTTGTTCCAAAACGCCTAAAGGAGTTGATGATTTTATTGACTGTATAAACTTTATTGAAGTTGAGGATCTGAATTCCTCTGGGTTTCAGTTTACTTGGAATAAAACTCCTGCTGGGAATAAGGGCCTTTTGAAGAAGTTAGATAGGGTGATGGCCAATTTGAAATTTGTTTCGGATCATCCTTTAGCTCATGCTGTTTTTAAACCTTATAGGGTGTCGGATCATTGTCCTGCTATTTTAAATGTTCCTGTTGGCAAATTGAGATGGAAACCTTCTTTTAGGTTTGCTAATTTTATCACTGAAAAGGTGGAGTTCTTACCCCTGGTTAAGGAAGTTTGGGATGCTAATATTGAAGGTTTTTTTATGTTCAAAGTGTGCCAAAAGTTGAAGATTCTTAAAAAGCATTGTAGGGAGCTTTGCAATAAGCACAGGGGTTCTGGGAAGAGAATCCAAATGTTACGAAAGGAGTTGGAAAGTAAACAATCTGAAATTGATCTTAATCCTTTTGATTGTAAGATTAGGGAGGAGCATACTAATATTATTTTTGATTTTAATGTTGCTTGTAATGATGAAGAAAAGCTTCTTTTCCAGAGATCTAAGATAAATTGGTTACAGGAAGGGGACAATAATACAAAGTTTTTTCATAGAGTTGTGAAGAGCAGGGGCAATAGAAATCGTATTTTGATGGTTATTGATGAAGATGGAAGATGGGTTAGTGGGAAGGCTATGAAGGATAAATTTGTTACTCATTTCAATAAGTTTTTGGGTTGTAAAGATGTTAATGAGTTTTTGTGTTTAAATGATGGTTTCTTTCATAATAAATTGGATAGTAGGGTGGCTGCTAATATGATTAGAGTGGTGACTGATGAAGAAATCAAAGTGGCGATGTTTGATATTGATGAAAATCGTGCCCCTGGACCTGATGGGTACTCCTCCAAATTTTTTAAAAGTTCTTGGAACATTGTTGCGCCGGAAGTGTGTAAAGCTATGAGGGAATTTTTTTGGACTGGTAAATTGTTGAAGGGGATTAATGCTACGAGAATAGTGCTGGTTCCTAAAGTGGAGTTCCCGAGGAAAGTTTCTGATTTCCGTCCTATAGCCTGCTGTAACACTTTATATAAGTGTATTAGTAAGATTATAGTGAACAGAATTAGAAATAGTTTGGGTGATATTGTGAGCAAAAATCAATCAGCTTTTATTCCTGGAAGATCTATTGTGGATAATATTCTCCTTGCTTAGGAGCTGATGGTGGGGTATAAAAATAAGAGGGGAGTTCCCAAATGCACCATAAAGATTGATATTCAAAAGGCATATGATACGGTGGATTGGAATTTTCTTAGTAGAATTCTGCAGGGGTTTGGTTTTCATACGATAATGATTCAGTGGATTATGGCTTGTGTTTTCTACTCCTTGGTTCATGCTTAACTTTAATGGTGAAGATCATGGGTATTTTGAAGGAAAGAGGGGTCTTAGGCAGGGTGATCCTCTATCTCCTTACCTATTTACTATAGTTATGGAGGTGTTTAATATCATCCTTTTGAAGAAAATTAAAGCTGGCCAGAATTTTAAGTTTCATAGTAAGTGTATGTCCCTTAAAATTACTCGTTTATGCTTTGCTGATGATTTGTTAGTATTTTCTTATGGAAATGGGAATTCTGCTAGAGTTATAAGGGATGCTCTTGATGAGTTCAAAAAAGTTTCAGGGTTGAAGGTGAGCATGGAAAAAAGCCAGATTTTCTTCAGTTGTGTTAAACCCAATATGAGAAGGATTATCTTGGGCATTCTTCCTTTTGATATTGGGAGATTTCCTTTTAAGTATTTGGGAATTCCTATGTGTGTTACAAAATTATTTGATAGAGATTGTAAACAGCTTATTGAGAAGATTAAGATGAGAATTTTCAATTGGAAAAGCAAGGCTTTATCGTTTGCTGGAAGGCTGCAGCTCATTAATTCTGTTTTGACATCTATTCATGTGTATTCGGCTTCGATTTTTAAAATTCCCATTGCTACTATTAAAGAGATTGAAAAGCTTTGTAGAAGTTTCTTGTGGGCGAATGGTGAGGTAGTCAAAGGGAAAGCTAAAGTCAAGTGGAATGATATTTGTAAGCCGAAAATTTATGGTGGTTTAGGAGTGAAGAATTTAAGGAAATGGAATGATGCTTTGTTAGCTAAACATGTGTGGAATGTGATTAATAGCAAAAATTCTCTGTTGGAAACAGGAATTTTTGGGATATTTTGCAGAAGAAGAGTATGAGCTGGACTTGGAAGAGGTTCCTTGAGGTGAGAAAAATTGTTAGGCCCCATGTTGTTTCGTGTGTGGGAAACGGGATGAATACTTCTCTCTGGCATGATTGGTGGCACCCAATTGGTATTTTATGTTCTATTATATCTAGAAGAGATTGGGTTAGCAATGGGTTTAGTGATTCTTCCTTGGTCAGTGATGTTCTAGTCTATGATTGCTATACTTGGCCGGTTGAGTGGGTTAATATATTCCCTGGATTGAAGGATGCTCCCATGTTTTGTATTGAGCCTAATCTGAGGGATGTTGCAGGTTGGAGAGATAAGAAAGGAATATGTAAACAATTTTCATGCAAACAGGTGTGGTGCGATATAAATAATTTTGGAGACCAAGTTCCTTGGCATGATATTGTTTGGTATGGTAATTGCATTCCTCGAAATTCGTTTATTTTGTGGATGGCTATTTTGAATAGATTGAAGACCCAGGATCGTGTCAGAGGTTGGGAAGTTTCTGGTAACTTACTTTGTCCTTTTTGTGCTGTTACTCCTGATTCACATGTTCATCTCTTCTTTAAATGTGATTATTCTCAACTTATTTGGAGGTATTTTTGTAATAAGATGGGTCTTAATCTTTTTATGGATGATTGGAATGAATTGATTATGAAGCTGTGCAGTTTGTTTAAAAGGAATTCTGGTGAGAATCTGGTTAATAAATGTGTTTTTGCTAGTTGTGTTGCACATATTTGGAAGGAGAGAAATTCTAGACTATTTAGTAACAGGAGAAATTCGTATAAGGGGCTGATTGCTTGTATTGAAAGTGAAATACATTTAATGCTGTTGGGGTTGAGGAAAAAGGCTAAGATGGTCAATGATAAAGTTTTTAAGGCCTGGGGTATTTCTGGAATGGAAAAAGTTTAAGTAATGGATGCTATTTTCTGGTTTTTTAGTTTGTTGGTTGGTGGCTATTGGTTTTGGGGTTGGCATAGAAGGATGTTTAACTTTGGTGATCTTAATGCTGTGGATTGGTGGGGGCATTTTTGGAATAAGTTTCTTTACAAAGGAATTGACGGATTGTGTTACTGGTTTGAGAGTTTGCTCTCAAATCATGTGACTTGTACCTATGGGATTTTCTGTTTGGATATGATCTTTATTGAGATTATCCAAATGGAGAATCCTAGACATGTGATTGATGCCATGTCTAGTATGAAACTTGTTCTGATTTCTTGGAGTTTTGGTGTTAGTTTGTTGTGGTTTGGCTTGTGCTTGATATGCAGGAATTTTTTTGCAAAGGTCGGGTTTGGATCATGTTTGCAAGCAGATGGAGTCTTTTCTGTTGAAGACTAAGTGGAGGATTGATGAGAGGAGAAGTGACAGAAGATGCGGGATTGATAAATTGATGGGGTTTTTTTATAGTTGCAATTATGAGTGTTATAATTGTGTTATCTTTTATTGGTTCTATGTTATGTATTGTGTAGGGAGTATTGTGGTTTTGTTGGGTTTTTTCTTAAAGCTTGGCCTTCGGACTGTGGGTTTTTTAAGGGCCTTACCCCTTGCTTAGGTATTAATGATCTTTGGGGATTTTGGTGGTGCAAGGGGGTGAAGTTACCTTTTTTCCCACTTTCAATAAGTCTTTGGGCTAGCTTTAAGGATAATAAGATTTTTTGGGTTTTGGGTGGTTAAGTCTAGTTATTAAAAAGTGGCTTGGTAGTTGGTTATGGATAGGTTGGTTAGATTTGTATTTTGTTTGACTATTTTATTTCCGTTTGTTTTTGTATTCTTTTATTCTTTTTAATAAAGTTTGCTGAGCTTTGGCTCTTTCAAAAAAAAAAAGATTTAAACAAAGCTCATCAAAGGTTTGCTAAATTACATAGACTTCTATTGTGGAACTCAAGACTTAAATAATGCTCATCAAAGCTTTGCTAAATTGCATTGACTTCTATTGTGGAACTCAAGAATTAAACAATGTTCATCAAGGCTTTGCTAAATCATATATATTACTTCTATTGTAGAACCCAAGAATTAGACAATGCTCATCAAAGCTTTGCTAAATTGCATATACTTCTATTGTGGGACACAAGAATTAAACGTAGCTCATCAAAGCATTACTAAATTGCATAGATTTCCATTGTGGAATTCAAGAGTTAAACAATGCTCATCACAACTTTGCTAAATTGTATAGACTACTTCTATCGTCGAACCCAAGAATTAAACAATGTTCATCAAAGCTTTGCTAAATTGCATAGACTTCTATTGTGGAACTAAAGAATTAAAGAATACTCATCAAAGCTTTGCTAAATTGCATATACTACATCTAATGTGGAACTTAAGAAATTAACAATGCTCATCAAAGCTTTGCTAAATTGCAGAGACTTTTATTGTGGAACTCAAAAACTAAACTATCCTCATCAAAGCTTTGCTAAATAGCATAGACTTCTAATGTAGAACTCAACGATTAAACAATCCTCATCAAAGCTTTGCTAAATTGCATAGACTTCTATTTTGCAACTCAGGAATTTAACAATGCTCGTCAAAGCTTTGCTAAATTGCATAGACTACTTCGATTGTGGAACTAAAGAATTAAACAATGTTCATCAAAGCTTTGCTATATTTGATAGACTTCTATTGTGGAATTCAAGAATTAAACAATGCTCATCAAAGCTTTGCTAAATTACACAGAATACTTCTATTGTAGAACCCAAGAATTGCTCACCATAGATTTGCTAAATTGCATAGACTTCTATTGCAGGATACAAGAATTAAACAAAGCTCATCAAAGCATTGCTAAATTGCGTAGACTTCTATTGTGGAATTCAAGAATTAAACAATGCTCATCAAAGCTTTCCTAAATTGCATAGACTACTTCTATTCTGGAACTCAAGAATTAAACAATGCTCATAAAAGCTTTGCTTAGTTGGATAGACTTCTATTGTGGAAATTAAGAATTATGCAATGCTCATCAATGCTTTGCTAAATTGGATAAACTTCTATTGTGGAACTCAAGAATTAAACAATGCTCATCAAAGCTTTGCTAAATTACATAGACTACTTCTATTATACAACCCAAGAATTGCTCACCATAGCTTTGCTAAATTGCAAAGACTTCTATTGCAGGATACAAGAATTAAACAAAGCTCATCAAAGCTTTGCTACATTGCGTAGACTTCTATTGTGGAATTCAACAATTAAACAATGCTCATCAAAGCTTTCCTAAATTGCATAGACTACTTCTACTGTGGAACTCAAGAATTAAAGAATGCTCATAAAAGCTTTGCTTAATTGGATAGACTTCTATTGTGGAAATCAAGAATTACGCAATGCTCATCAAAGCTTTGCTAATTTGCATAGACTAATTCTATTGTAGAAATTAAAAAGTAAACAATGCTCATCAAAGCTTTGCTAAATTGCATAGACTTCTATTATGGAACTCAAGAATTAAACAAAGCTCATCAAAGGTTTGCTAAATTACATAGACTTCTATTGTGGAACTCAAAAATTAAATAATGCTCATCAAAGCTTTGCTAAATTGCACAGACTTCTATTGTGGAACTAAAGAATTAAAGAATACTCATCAAAGCTTTGCTAAATTGCATATACTACATCTAATGTGGAACTTAAGAATTTAACAATGCTCATCAAACCTTTGCTAAATTGCAGAGACTTTTATTGTTGAACTCAAAAACTAAACTATCCTCATCAAAGCTTTGCTAAATTGCATAGACTTCTAATGTAGAACTCAACGATTAAACAATGCTCATCAAAGCTTTGCAAAATTGCATAGACTTCTATTTTGCAACTCAGGAATTTAACAATGCTCGTCAAAGATTTGCTAAATTGCATAAACTACTTCGATTGTGGAACTAAAGAATTAAACAATTTTCATCAAAGCTTTGCTAAATTGGATAGACTTCTATTATGGAACTCAAGAATTAAACAATGCTCATTAAAGCTTTGCTAAATTACACAGACTACTTCTATTGTAGAACCCAAGAATTGCTCACCATAGCTTTGCTAAATTGCATAGACTTCTATTGCGGGATACAAGAATTAAACAAAGCTCATCAAAGCTTTGCTAAATTGCGTAGACTTCTATTGTGGAATTCAAGAATTAAACAATGCTCATCAAAGCTTTCCTAAATTGCATAGATTACTTCTATTGTGGAACTCAAGAATTAAACAATGCTCATAAAAGATTTGCTTAGTTGGATAGACTTATATTGTGGAAATTAAGAATTACGCAATGCTCATCAATGCTTTGCTAAATTGGATAGACTTCTATTGTGGAACTCAAGAATTAAACAATTCTCATCAAAGCTTTGCTAAATTACATAGACTACTTCTATTGTAGAACCCAAGAATTGCTCACCATAGCTTTGCTAAATTGCATAGACTTCTATTGCAGGATACAAGAATTAAACAAAGCTCATCAAAGCTTTGCTAAATTGCGTAGACTTCTATTGTGGAATTCAACAATTAAACAATGTAGTCGTTGAAGCAATTTCTCTTCTGTTTCCGTTGTCCTAATGGGTGCGTCATCTAAAGCGGATCGATTGAAGGAAGTGAAAGTTAAGCCACCGGATAAAAGTGCTGCTGTCCGGTACGTTAGGACTGAAGTGGATGTGAAAGATCTAGTTCCCCCTGGGGTCATTGATCAGTCCTCAGCTACGATTTATAAAGCTCGTCGTAAGCCAAGTGCTTCTGGAGCTGTTGCTTCGGGGATTGGAAAAGCTGAATGGAAAATGGAGGGGAAAGCTTTCAGAGTGAAGAACAGAGCTCGGAAAATTGTGGATGGGATATCACCGATGGATGCAAAGAAATACTACACTGAAGAAGCTAATGAGGAGGAAACGGAAGATGACTCGGAGTCTGTATCGGCCTGGGAGTCGGATTCTAATATTTCAATTCCTGGAAATGATAGCAATATGAAGGGGTTGAAGGATGGGGGTTCTGGTGAGCTGAAGACTATTGGAGTTCAAGTTGTCTCTATTCCTTCAGGTAATACTGCTAATTTGTTGAAAAATTGGGATGGTTCTAAGGTGAATGATGAATTATTGAGCCCTAGTTCGGAATTGAAGAGTGTTACTAGTGAAATGATTAGGGTGAATCCTAACATTGCTGTGATTGATGTCAATAAACCTGTATGCCCTGATTTGGTTGATGATGAAGTTGAGAAGTCTAGATCTAATGGTGATAAGAAGGTTATCAGTAATGAAGAATTTATTCCGGGAGTTGGCTTTCAATTTCTTAATGAGTTGAAGGTGGAAACACCTAAGAGGAAGGATTTAGAAGTAAGTTGAATCAGGAAATGGATGTCGATATGTCAAATTTGAATAAGCAAGTTAATGAGGAAGGAGATGATTCTGAAGATGATGGTTCTTCTGAAGAGGATGGGGAAGATGAATCTAGTGAGGATGAGTCTAGTGAAGATGAGGAAATTGTGATGGAAGAGGAGGTTAATACTAAGATGAGTAAAGAGCCTAGTTTAAAGATGAAGTCTGGTACTGTTATTAATAGTATTAATATGCTTCCTTCTATTTTGGGTGATGCTAATAGTTGTAAAAAGGTGGATGGTGATAGTCAGGGGAACTTGTTGAACTCTTATGCAGGTGTGTTAAAAGGTAATAGACATAAGGGTAAGATTGATGTCAAGTTTATTCCAGGGGAAAAAGGCAAAGAAGAAGGACCTGTTATTATCCCGATTGAGAATTTAAAGAAAGCGAGTATTCCATATACTAATACTTTATATGGGTATATGATTGATAAGAAGTTAGCGTTTCCTGTGATTCAGCAAGAGGTTAGAAGGCTATGGAAGAATGTGGGTCTTGAAGAGATATTCATGAACAGTAAAGGGTTTTTCTTTTTTAAATTTAGTGATGAGCAGGGGATGTTATCTATATTGGAGGGAAGCCCATGGTTGATGTTCAATAATATGCCATTATTTCTTCAAAGGTGGAGACCAGGTCTGAAATTAACCAAGAATAGTCATGATAAAATTCCGGTGTGGATCAAAATCTTTGATTTACCTTTGGAAGTATGGAGTGGAGAGAATTTGTGTATTATAGCGAGTAAGTTGGGGGTGCCTCTGGCTTTTGATTCTTTTACTGAGGAGATGTGTTTGGAACACAAGGGTAGAAACGCTTATGCTCGAATTCTTGTTGAAATGGCGGCTGATAAGGAATGGATGAGGAAAATTGAGGTTTCTACTTGGGATTTTGTTACTAATTCTGCTGTGGTTCAGAGTTTTGATGTGGAGTATGCTTGGATGCCTTCTAGATGTAATCACTGTAAGGTTTATGGGCATACGGATAAAGTTTGTTTGGCAGCTTTGAATGAAGAGAAAGTGGTAAAGAATGGGGATAATGGGAACAATAAGAGAAATAAAGGGAAGGAAATGGTTAATGATGATGGATTTACGGAGGTTGTTTATAAGAAGGTTGCAGGAAATAATGATGGTGAAGGCCCTAGTAAATCTAAGGAGGGTCATGCTCAATTGTATAATCAAAGATATAGTGGGAAGAATGGAAATTTTAACAGGGAAAATAATTTCAGAGGCAATTATGGGAATAGAGGTGGTAATGGAAGGGGACAGAATGGGAATTGGAATAATAAAGGGGTGGGTCATTGGAATTTAGAAAAGAATAGAAGATATGAGAAGTTTGTTAATGGTCAGGCTTTGGTTGGTAATCAGGGGAAAATGGAGAATAAGATGCAGGGGAATGCTATAAAGGATGATAACATAAAAGTGGGTGTTAACAAGAGTCTAGAAAATAAGACTGTTTCTAGTGATGGTTGCAGTATTAAAAATAGTTTTGAAATCCTGGGAAGGATTGATGAGGAAGTTATGGATAGAATGGAAGAGGATGCTAAGGGAGGCAAAGTTGATGGTTATCAGGAAGGTGATTGTGTTGATTATTCTTCTGATGTTGTTGGAATAATGAATAATAAGTTGGATCCTTCTAAGTTTGTTGGGAAGGGTAATGTAGGGAATGAAAGTAATAAAATGAAGAATAGTATGATGGTTCAGGGGAATAGTAAAAGCACAGATGGGATTTCTCAGGCATTTGAGGAGGTAAATGCCAAAAACTATATTATTTCCCAATGATGTCTATAGGGGTATGGAATGTCAGGGGCTTGAATAAAGCTATTAAGCAGAAGGAGGTTATTGATGTTATTAGGAGTAATAACCTTGGTATATGTGCTGTGGTGGAGTCTCATGTCAAGGTCTTAAATCTTAAGAATGTTTGTGTTAAGACCTTTGGTCAATGGGATTGGGTTTCTAATAATAGTAGCTGTGAGGCTGGAACTAGAATAATTGTTGGATGGAATCCAAGACTTTTTGATGTGATGGTGATTTCTCAGTCTAGACAAGTTATTCACTGTTATGTTAGATTCTGTGATTCCAATTATAGCATGTATTTGTCTTTTATATATGCTGCTTCGAATTATCTTGAGAGAAGGTTATTATGGGATAATTTGAAGAAACATAGTTTGGTTGTTAAGAAGGAAGCATGGGGAATATTAGGTGATTTTAATGTTGCTTTAAAACCATCGGAATATTCTGAAGGTTGTTCCAAAACGCCTAAAGGAGTTGATGATTTTATTGACTGTATAAACTTTATTGAAGTTGAGGATCTGAATTCCTCTGGGTTTCAGTTTACTTGGAATAAAACTCCTGCTGGGAATAAGGGCCTTTTGAAGAAGTTAGATAGGGTGATGGCCAATTTGAAATTTGTTTCGGATCATCCTTTAGCTCATGCTGTTTTTAAACCTTATAGGGTGTCGGATCATTGTCCTGCTATTTTAAATGTTCCTGTTGGCAAATTGAGATGGAAACCTTCTTTTAGGTTTGCTAATTTTATCACTGAAAAGGTGGAGTTCTTACCCCTGGTTAACGAAGTTTGGGATGCTAATATTGAAGGTTTTTTTTATGTTCAAAGTGTGCCAAAAGTTGAAGATTCTTAAAAAGCATTGTAGGGAGCTTTGCAATAAGCATAGGGGTTCTGGGAAGAGAATCCAAATGTTAAGAAAGGAGTTGGAAAGTAAACAATCTGAAATTGATCTTAATCCTTTTGATTGTAAGATTAGGGAGGAGCATACTAATATTCTTTTTGATTTTAATGTTGCTTGTAATGATGAAGAAAAGCTTCTTTTCCAGAGATCTAAGATAAATTGGTTACAGGAAGGGGACAATAATACAAAGTTTTTTCATAGAGTTGTGAAGAGCAGGGGCAATAGAAATCGTATTCTGATGGTTATTGATGAAGATGGAAGATGGGTTAGTGGGAAGGCTATGAAGGATAAATTTGTTACTCATTTCAATAAGTTTTTGGGTTGTAAAGATGTTACTGAGTTTTCGTGTTTAAATGATGGTTTCTTTCATAATAAATTGGATAGTAGGGTGGCTGCTAATATGATTAGAGTGGTGACTAATGAAGAAATCAAAGTAGCGATGTTTGATATTGATGAAAATCGTGCCCCTGGACCTGATGGGTACTCCTCCAAATTTTTTAAAAGGTCTTGGATCATTGTTGGGCTGGAGGTGTGTAAAGCTGTGAGGGAATTTTTTTTGGACTGGTAAATTGTTGAAGGGGATTAATGCTACGAGAATAGTGCTGGTTCCTAAAGTGGAGTTCCCGAGGAAAGTTTCTGATTTCCATCCTATAGCCTGCTGTAACACTTTATATAAGTGTATTAGTAAGATTATAGTGAACAGAATTAGAAATAGTTTGGGTGATATTGTGAGCAAAAATCAATCAGCTTTCATTCCTGGAAGATCTATTGTGGATAATATTCTCCTTGCTCAGGAGCTGATGGTGGGGTATAAAAATAAGAGGGGAGTTCCCAAATGCACCATAAAGATTGATATTCAAAAGGCATATGATACGGTGGATTGGAATTTTCTTAGTAGAATTCTGCAGGGGTTTGGTTTTCATACGATAATGATTCAGTGGATTATGGCTTGTGTTTCTACTCCTTGGTTCATGCTTAACTTTAATGGTGAAGATCATGGGTATTTTGAAGGAAAGATGGGTCTTAGGCAGGGTGATCCTCTATCTCCTTACCTATTTACTATAGTTATGGAGGTGTTTAATATCATCCTTTTGAAGAAAATTGAAGCTGGCCAGAATTTTAAGTTTCATAGTAAGTGTATGTCCCTTAAAATTACTCATTTATGCTTTGCTGATGATTTGTTAGTATTTTCTTATGGAAATGGGAATTCTGCTAGAGTTATAAGGATGCTCTTGATGAGTTAAAAAAAGTTTCAGGGTTGAAGGTGAGCATGGAAAAAACCAGATTTTCTTCAGTTGTGTTAAACCCAATATGAGAAGGATTATCTTGGGCATTCTTCCTTTTGATATTGGGAGATTTCCTTTTAAGTATTTGGGAATTCCTATGTGTGTTACAAATTATTTGATAGAGATTGTAAACAGCTTATTAAAGAAGATTAAGATGAGAATTTTCAATTGGAAAAGCAAGGCTTTATCGTTTGCTGGAAGGCTGCAGCTCATTAATTCTGTTTTGACATCTATTCATGTGTATTCGGCTTCGATTTTTAAAATTCCCATTGCTACTATTAAAGAGATTGAAAAGCTTTGTAAAAGTTTCTTGTGGGCGAATGGTGAGGTAGTCAAAGGGAAAGCTAAAGTCAAGTGGAATGATATTTGTAAGCCGAAAATTTATGGTGGTTTAGGAGTGAAGAATTTAAGGAAATGGAATGATGCTTTGTTAGCTAAACATGTGTGGAATGTGATTAATAGCAAAAATTCTCTGTGGGTTCAGTGGGTGAAATCCAATTACATTGGAAACAGGAATTTTTGGGATATTTTGCAGAAGAAGAGTATGAGCTGGACTTGGAAGAGGTTCCTTGAGGTGAGAAAAATTGTTAGGCCCCATGTTGTTTCGTGTGTGGGAAACGGGATGAATACTTCTCTCTGGCATGATTGGTGGCACCCAATTGGTATTTTATGTTCTATTATATCTAGAAGAGATTGGGTTAGCAATGGGTTTAGTGATTCTTCTTTTGGTCACTGATGTTCTAGTCTATGATTGCTATACTTGGCCGGTTGAGTGGGTTAATATATTCCCTGGATTGAAGGATGCTCCCATGTTTTGTATTGAGCCTAATCTGAGGGATGTTGCAGGTTGGAGAGATAAGAAAGGAATATGTAAACAATTTTCATGCAAACAGGTGTGGTGCGATATAAATAATTTTGGAGACCAAGTTCCTTGGCATGATATTGTTTGGTATGGTAATTGCATTCGTCGAAATTCGTTTATTTTGTGGATGGCTATTTTGAATAGATTGAAGACCCAGGATCGTGTCAGAGGTTGGGAAGTTTCTGGTAACTTACTTTGTCCTTTTTGTGCTGTTACTCCTGATTCACATGTTCATCTCTTCTTTAAATGTGATTATTCTCAACTTATTTGGAGGTATTTTTGTAATAAGATGGGTCTTAATCTTTTTATGGATGATTGGAATGAATTGATTATGAAGCTGTGCAGTTTGTTTAAAAGGAATTCTGGTGAGAATCTCGTTAATAAATGTGTTTTTGCTAGTTGTGTTGCACATATTTGGAAGGAGAGAAATTCTAGACTATTTAGTAACAGGAGAAATTCGTATAAGGGGTTGATTGCTTGTATTGAAAGTGAAATACATTTAATGCTGTTGGGGTTGAGGAAAAAGGCTAAGATGGTCAATGATAAAGTTTTTAAGGCCTGGGGTATTTCTAGAATTGAAAAAGTTTAAGTAATGGATGCTATTTTCTGGTTTTTTAGTTTGTTGGTTGGTGGCTATTGGTTTTGGGGTTGGCATAGAAGGATGTTTAACTTTGGTGATCTTAATGCTGTGGATTGGTGGGGGCATTTTTGGAATAAGTTTCTTTACAAAGGAATTGACGAATTGTGTTACTGGTTTGAGAGTTTGCTCTCAAATCATGTGACTTGTACCTATGGGATATTCTATTTGGATATGATCTTTATTGAGATTATCCAAATGGAGAATCCTAGACATGTGATTGATGCCATGTCTAGTATGAAACTTGTTCTCATTTCTTGGAGCTTTGCTGTTAGTTTGTTGTGGTTTGGCTTGTGCTTGATATGCAGGAATTTTTTGCAAAGGTTGGGTTTGGATCATGTTTGCAAGCAGATGTAGTCTTTTCTGTTGAAGACTAAGTGGAGGATTGATGAGAGGAGAAGTGACAGAAGATGCGGGATTGATAAATTGATGGGGTTTTTTTATAGTTGCAATTATGAGTGTTATAATTGTGTTGTCTTTTATTGGTTCTATGTTATGTATTGTGTAGGGAGTATTGTGGTTTTGTTGGGTTTTTTCTTAAAGCTTGGCCTTCGGACTGTGGGTTTTTTTTAAGGGCCTTACCCCTTGCTTAGGTATTAATGATCTTTGGGGATTTTGGTGGTGTAAGGGGGTGAAGTTACCTTTTTTCCCACTTTCAATAAGTCTTTGGGCTAGCTTTAAGGATAATAAGGTTTTTTGGGTTTTTGGGTGGTTAAGTCTAGTTATTAAAAAGTGGCTTGGTAGTTGGTTATGGATAGGTTGGTTAGATTTGTATTTTGTTTGACTATTTTATTTCCGTTTGTTTTTGTATTCTTTTATTATTTTTAATAAAGTTTGCTGAGCTTTGGCTCTTCCAAAAAAAAAAGAATTAAACAATGTTCTTCAAAACTTTGCTAAATCACATATACTATTCTATTGTAGAACCCAAGAATTAGACAATACTCATCAAAGCTTTGCTAAATTGCATATACTTCTATTGTGGGACTCAAGAATTAAATGAAGCTCATCAAAGCTTTACTAAAGTAAGTAGATTTCTATTGTGGAATTCAAGAAAAAACAATGCTCATCAAAGCTTTGTTAAATTGCATACACAACTTCTATTCTGGAACTCAAGATTTAAACAATGCTTATAAAAGCTTTGCTAAATATCATAGTCTTCTATTGTGGAACTCAAGATCTAAACAATGCTCATCAAAGCTTTGCTAAATTGCATAGACTTCTATTGTAGAACTCAACAATTAAACAACGCTCACCAAAGCTTTGCCAAATTGCCTAGACTTCTATTTTGGACCTAAAGAATTAAACAATGCTCATCAAAGCTTTGCTAAGTTGCATAGACTACTTCTATTGTGGAACTAAAGAATTAAACAATGCTCATCAAAGCTTTACTAAATTGCATAGAGTACTTCTATTGTAGAACCCAAGAATTAAACAATGCTCATCAAAGCTTTGCTAAATAGCATAGACTTCTATTTCGGGACACAAGAATTAAACGAAGCTCATCAAAGCTTTGCTAAATTGCGTAGACTTCTATTGTGGAACTCAAGAAATAAACAATGCTCATCAAAGCATTGCTAAATTGCATAGACTACTTCTATTATAGAACTCAAGAATTAAACAATGCTCTTCAAAGATTTGCTAAATTGCATAGACTTCTATTTTGCAACTCAGGAATTTAACAATGCTCGTCAAAGCTTTGCTAATTGCATATACTACTTCGATTGTGGAACTAAAGAATTAAACAATGCTCATCAAAGCTTTGCTAAATTGCATAGACTTATATTGTGGAACTCAAGAATTAAACAATGCTCATCAAAGCGTTGCTAAATTACAGAGACTACTTCTATTGTAGAACCCAAGAATTGCTTTTCAAAGCTTTCCTAAATTGCATAGACTACTTCTATTGTGTAACTCAAGAATTAAACAATGCTCATAAAAGCTTTTCTTAATTGGATAGACTTCTATTGTCACACCCCCAAATTGGAACGGCGGAAACGTTCGGGGGCGGAGGACATCATGTACAGTATCATAACAATGCACAATAGTAAACAAGCAACAACATCATTCATTGCATTAATAATATAATTTAATACAAGTGTGTTCTGTGTATAGTTTGAAAGACACCAAAATATGAATCAAAATAAAAGACGAGTCTCGAATGTGCTCCGTCTTCTCAAAACCTGATCCAGTGTACCTGTCTACTGGTGACCTGAGAATACAAGTTATTTTGAAAGAGTAGATCAACATTTAAGCTGGTGAGTTCATAAGTATTTTAGTGTCGATGTTTGTATAAGTTTGATGAAAGTGTTTGTAAATGTTTGATGTAAATGTTTATAAGTGTTTGATGTAAATGTTTGTATCTCCTAGAAAATCCTGTATTTTCTACTTCTAATGAAATGTAGTCTTCTACCAAGACCCGACTGTTTTGTATGTTTGTTCGTTTGTAAAAGTGAGTGTTTTTCCCAAGTTTGACTATCATTACTAAGTTATAGTTTACATTACCGTTTATGTGAGAAGATCATAATTTGAATGTAATGGGAAAAATAAAGATCAACTATAGTATTGTATATAGTAACTACCGTTGTACTAACTACCATAAACGAACTGTTTAATTAAGGTAAAATGTGATGAGATTATAACCATACTTGATTGACTAGTAAAACACGACGATCAAACGTCGAAATGGTATGACATTCGTCACCCGTAGACCTGCAGGTCCCACTATAGCTAGCAGCAAGGAGTACGATGGTCAATCCCGTATAAATCTATACACAAATTCACGCTCTCCCTCCAGGAGACTCTAGTTACAAAACATGACACAACAGTACACTGTCGTGCCATGAAGTAGTGGCTCACATTAATGTTATAGTGTTCTTGTATTTGTATAGTATGTTCTAGTGTATTGTATGTTCTCTTTGTTCTAGTGTATAGTATGTTCCTCCCTATTTCTCATTATAGTATGTTCTTTCTGTTTCTCGTTATAGTATGTTCTTTCTGTTTCTCGTTATAGTATGTTTGAACCGATTCTTGTATGTTTCATTGTACTAGAAATAGTGAGTAGTAATCCTCTAAACTATACCTATTATAGTTTACTAGTAATGTTGTTTGAATGATTGAGCATGTTTGTACACCTTTGCTACCCAAAGGTGTTGAACTGATGTAAGAACTTTTATATCTATACACATATACATAATATATAACTAAGATCCAAACGACACTCGGACAAACAACCGATACCCTAAGTCCACAACCAAACAAGGAACAGGAAATAAAGCGAGTTATCAGTCCTAAGCCCTTTCAACCTTACTTATATAACTATATCTATATATACATGATTTTGACAATATATAAGTTTAAAAGAGTTTTAGCATATAAAAGAGTTTTAACACATATAAAGGAATTTTAACCATTTGAATTGTTACAGAAGACTTGATGTCAGTTCATAAAATGTTTTGAAATAGTTTGTTTGATAACACAGTTTTGAAGTATAAGAAATCCACTTGTTTGATAGTTATTAATCACATGTGATTGATATAATAACTATAATGTTTTCTACTTGTATTCCCCCCCCCCCCTTTAAAAGCATTTAAAATCATTTAAAACATAAGTTAGGGGTATGAACTCACCTAAGTGTCAAGTGAAGCCTCGAGCACAAACAGATCCTATTAAGCATATAAAGACACATATATGTATATAATTAGTGTGTATACAACTAATCATGATAGGGAACCACCTTAGGGAATAGGAAACACTTGAATTGAAGTGTGACAATAACATTTGATTGTTCTAAAGGTGTTCACGGCCACACAATAATGTGTTTACGGCCTAGTTGTGTTCACGGCCAAGGTGTTTATGGCCATGGGTGTTTACGGCCAAATATGTTTACGGCCAACACAAGAAGAAGCTAGGGTTTACGGCCAAAGATGTTCTTGAGAAGGGTTTACGGCCAAGGGAGAACTTATGGTCGTTAACTCTTGATGTTCTTGATTAAATAGGTTTTTCAAGGATGTATTTCAAGAGCTTCAAATGGATAACTAGTATATGGAAAGGATACTTACGATTTGGAAGCTTGAAGGGGTGTTCACGGCCCAAAGAACTAGTGTCTGTTCTTGGTGTTCTTGAAGATCTAACTCAAAAAGAGATGATTTCACGGATGAAATCAAGGGGTTTTGCTAGATTAAGAAAGATATTAACTTATAAATGGAAGAATCACTTACAAATTTGTCGAGAAATAGAAATGTTCTTGATGATACTTGAGAGAGAAATGAGTGTTCTTGAGTAGGAAGTGTGAGAAGTGAAGAAAAATGAAGGAATATCATACATATGGAAGGAGTTCACGGTCAGACAAGAGATTACAGCCGTAATCTCTAGTTTACGGCAGTAAACTCCAAGGGTTGGAGTTTCCGGCTTGAATGTTGCACACTGAACTCTAGTAAATACTTCCTAACACTCAATCCTTGAATGTACTAGCCTTAGAACACTCAAACAGACCCTTAACAATGCTAAAAGATAGCAGAAACAAGTCTGACTTGTGATTGAATTGAATGGCTTTACAAGATAGAAATTTCGGGTTGTCACATCATCCCCCCGTTAGAGAGAATTTCTTCCCGAAATTAGAGTTTAAGCAATTAAGAAAATACAAATAACTAAGTAAAAAGATGAGGATATTTCAGTTTCATTTGATCCTCGCGCTCCCAAGTGAATTCAGGTCATCGCTTGGCATTCCAGCGAACCTTCACTATCGGGATACGACTTTGCTTCGTTTGCTTGACCTCTCGGTCCACGATATCTACTGGTTCTTCCACGAAGTTAAGGCTCTCGTTGATCTCGATCTCGTCAAGTGGGATTACAGGAGTCTCGTCGGACAGACACTTTTTCAAGTTCGAGACGTGGAAAGTAGGGTGTAAGTTACTAAGTTCATGAGGTAGTTTGAGTTTGTAAGCTACAAGGCCTATTCTAGCGTGAATCTCGAAAGGCCCTACGTATCTTGGATTTAGCTTTCCACGCTTTCTGAAGCGTATCAAGCCCTTCCAGGGTGAGACCTCCAATAGAACACGGTCGCCAACCTGGAATTCCAAAGGTTTCCTTCTCTTGTCTGCGTAGCTTTTATGTCGGTCTGTAGAGGCTTTCAATCGTTCACGAATTTGAACGATTTTCTCTGTCGTTTGTCAAATGATCGCTGGACCTGTGAGAGTGTTTTCAGGAACTCGTCCTTTAGCTAACTGTGTGTCACCCACCTCAGCCCAGCACAGAGGAGATCTGCACTTACGGCCATAGAGGGCTTCAAATGGAGCAGTCTTTATGCTCGTGTGTTAACTGTTATTGTAGGACAATTCAACAAGGGGTAAATGAGTATC